CCTGAGCTCCTGCTATCGCCTCGACATGCGCGGACATCAAAGATGCAGCCTTCTATTAATGATAACCATTGATTGTGAGCCAGAGATGGCCAGGCAGACAACATCAAGGGCAGAGAACCTGATGTGCTGAAAACGAGTGTGACATCAACTCCGGACACCAATGGTCTGCGAATGTTAGCCTGCGGCTCTGGGCCAGTTTGGTCTACATTGACTGCCCACAGTCCCAGAATAAAGGGGAACACTGGACGGAAGGAAAAGGGGAAAGATAAGCGCAAACTTGGCGGCATCCATCAAACGATTGTTCCTAACAAATATCAATGAGATAGGCTTGATTGTAACTCACGATAGTCAGTGGTATGCCGCCAAAAGCGCATCGTTGCTGTCTCCCCCCCCCCCCCCCCCCCCCCCCCCCCCCCNGCCCCCCCCCCCCCCCTCCCCCCCACAAATGCACTGCACTCTCGTACATCGCCCCTTTCGAAGTTGCCAAAAATGAAGTGCACATCTCCTGACACTTAGCCTTTTTTTGGAAACAAGAAAAGGAGACGTACCAATATACCCGCCCGAACTTTCAGTCTGCTCTTAGTTAAAAAGAATGATGCTTCCGTTTCCGCAATCCAGGAGAGAGCGTCGGAGGTGGGGCCGAGAACGGTGTCCGGAGCACCCGTTCCACATGAGGGGCCGGAAAATAGGGGCGCCGGGGCTGTGGGTCGATAATGAAGGCGAATAGATTGGAAGCTGACCTACTACAACGGCCGACCACGGAGGTTGGTGTCAAATCAAGATTTATACCAATATGCAATCTCATACTCTTAGCAGGCGACGTTCCAATACTCCGCTAGAATGAAGACTTCGGACGTTTAGAAGTATGATCGAATCATGACCGCGAGGTCACCGATTACGGGATTCAGAGACTCATCGAAAGCCAACCGAGGGAGGGCAGTGAAATGGAGTTGGTCCGCTTTCTTGGAAACAACAGCAATGGCGACGAGACTGACTGATTAAGGGCACATATTGAAAACCATGGAGAGGTTTGACTGCAAGGGTCGGGACTTCATGTCTGTGATATATGCTTTCTGCACTTCAATGCAAGAAATCCCAAGTGTCACAAGGCACTGAAAACAGCCAGCTAGCCATCATACAGCATTTCAGATTATTGATGCTAGAGGCAAAGACTGTCCTTTTTCGGTGGGAATGAGGCTTACAAAAGTTGATAATTTGCCTGGATGTTACTTCTGATGATGGCAAACCCACCTGTGCAACAACCAGATGCCGGCTGACGTCCATAGATGTACGGAGCAGTATCCGTGAACAACTATTAGCCAATGATAATTTATCGCTTAATGTTAAACACGAAATCCACCAGGTGTCCTATATGTGAGTCTATCTCAGATATACACAGTAGTCGACCGCTTCTGTCAAAGACTTAGCCTAGGCGAAAGGGCCACCTAAAGAGCAACATTTCTTAGGAGACCTAAGTTATGAGAGAACGCATCACTCCTGATCATGCCTACAGCGTGATCCGCTTCTGCGGCCACTACCTAGTCAAAAAGAATTTTACGGCAGCTACAAAAGTGGCCTCCGTAGTTTACGTTGTTGAGCGCTTCGTCGCCATTCGTTGTGCACAACTTGCTTCAGATCTCAATTCCATCAGGAATTTGATGGCGAAAAACCTACAGATCAACTCTTCTGCTCACCCATCCATGGAGTGATGCACCTTTTCGATGGAGAGACAGGGACATTACGCGCTATTCTCCTGCGACGTTTCTACGTCCCCTTTTTTCCGGATTTAAAACAGCGTCTGCAGCATAGGTGGGTGAGCTTGCTTGTTTGCGACGTATTTCAAAGATACCAATAAGAGAGTGTGACCTCAGACAACAGGCTTCTAAATAGCAGAGGGTGATTGCGTCTTACCCGAATGCAAGCCTCTGAATCATATTGTAGCGAGCGTGACTAAGATGGCAGGGGACTACTGCGCTGATTAATGCTGACCCTGGGGAACTTTTGGAAAAGCAGCTCTTTGGCCTAGAAGTCAGAGCGCAACCGCTCACTTGAATGGAAACTCGGCAGGCAAATGATTTATCTCTACCCGTCGAATCTTGAAAAGTTCTGATGATACTCAGTGCAGAACACCTGTTGAGCCGAATACGACTCAGCGTATGGCTTCATGATTCAAACCATTCATCAGCAATGGTTGAATAAGTGCTCGACAACGAAGCCTGCGGGCGATTCGGATAAGAAGGTTTTCCACCATGCAGGTGAGGGACACTCCTCATCTCACGACGCGTCCGCATGACAGCAAACAATCTGCTCCCGAATGAGCAACTTGCCTGACTTGAAGCGTGGTCGTTGCATTCATTCGAAGCAGCACCCTCTCGCACTGCTGTTGCGAGACTACGAAGTTTGTTGCACTGGAAGTTGTCTCCCAAAACATGTCATTACAGCGACTGTACAAGCCTAACTGCCTGGTGATACCCTCCCTCGCAACCCTCAAGCAGCCAAAACATGATGAACAATTATTCAACCGTCGGTCGAATTAAGAATTGCTGCCCTCGAGTGCCGAAGGGCAGCCGTTACAGCCTATATTCCGCGCAGTAATCCAGCTCGCGGATAGGTCGGTCTAGACTGCGTCGCACCCATTCAACTCCAATGAGTCGCATGTAGTATCAGATGTGGAAAATTTCGCCGTACTGCCGTCCAATGTCCTGACAAAGCGGGCACCGCCAGCTTGGGTCGGGCCCGGTGTTCCAGTCCCAACTCCGGTCCCGAGGACACACCAAACTTTACTTTCATGTGTCAGGTCCCGGCCGAAATTTCTAGACCCTGAGATGGTTGCAGCAGTTCTGGAATCAATTCAACTTGCCAGCTTCACGACATGGCACCCGCTCAATCTTTCGCTGACGTTGGAGACACAGGCAGAAAACCTTTTTGAATATTTCATCGTTTCACCGACATATGTTCGTTTTCGTCAAATACAACTTGGGGGTGGAAACCGCTGTGACAACATAACACCCGTTGCATCAACCATATCACGAGGCCAACATCTCCGAAGCATTACCAAATCCCGAGTGTACGAGAACCCCGTATAAGGTATAGCGACGTCTAATAAGAGAATCTGACAGCTGGTTTCAACATGAAAACGCCAAGCGCCGTAGCATCGAGATCTGCAAAACTGCCATATCAGAGGCCGATATAGCCATTTCCGATAATGTCTCCATAAAACACCAGAAACTCATCACGAACTGGTCCCCGAGGCGGAAACTTTGTTGACATTCTCTCCATAATTCTCGAAACCGTCGGCGTTCTCTCTGACGACTAACAACGTGATACGCGGCTAAAAGCGCATGAATCGTCGCGTTGGTCCGCTTATAAGGCTGGGGTTGGGGAAGACGGCACACACCGGTGTTATCCCGAGTGGATCTGCGTACGACTTCACTACTACAGCTCTGAACTGTGATCCGTCCTGTTGATCGAACTTAAGGTGAGTGATCGTTCTTCAGCTCGACTGAGATGCCAGCCGCCTCCTTTATCTACACCAGTTTGCCAAATCGACTCGAGGCAGTCGGAACAGCCCCGCTGCCGGAAACAGGAAAGTGGGATGCACGGGTTCCGTGCCGACCCCGACACCAGGACCAGCGCGTCGGATTCAAGTTCCAACGGCGTTCTACAGGACATATCACCAAGGAGTCTTATTCAGAACCCTCGTCAGAGTTCGACCAGCAACAACGGCAGTCCCTGCCCCCGTGACTGTCAGCGGCCGATGGCATTCCTGCAGAGAGCAGTTCTCGATGTGCTGCCCAGCGCCCAGTGCCGCGTTGCCGTTGCTGGGATCTTCGTACTGGGTCCGGCAGTCACATTGAGTCTATTAGGCTTTGGTTACCAGTCGAATGGTATTGTCGGTCTCGCATGCTACGGCCGGTGAGTTTACGAGATTTCACGTAATTAGAGTTCTACTGCTTCTCGCCGTACCCCACCTGCGGAAGCAGCTTGTCACAGAGCTACCCCAACTTGGGGAGTTTTGTCGGCGGATCCCACCTGCTTGTTCCACCCGCGCGCCACGCCTTACCTGAGAACCGCTGGGTGATTCCAGAAACGAATTCGAAAGGAGTAGTCCGGCGAGTTGATATCGCGAGTCGTGTCCTTGCACTGCAGCACTGCAGGTCATCGCATGTCAGAGCAGAAGGTTTGTTGTATATCTCATCCGTAACTCGTTTGTCTGCTTTCCACGTGAGACACGTTCATGGATGAAATGCCGGAAAGGTGGACTGCCTCATCCGGATAGAGGAGATGTAAGCGCCAAAGAAATGACCAAATTAGGCCACTGCTTCATCCAGTCTGATATTCACAACCTCGCATTCTCGGTATCGAGTCCCGAAAGCCACGACTGAAGTAAAAAATTCTAATCAAGAGCCTCATTGGCCGGGCCATACTGACAAGCTTGCGGAACTGTTCGTAGCTGTGAGAACATAGGATGAGAACCTATTCATCGGGTTGCCCTACAGCCCATCGACGTTTGGAAGTGGAGGAAATGTTGGGACGGGGGACACTGACCTGAGAACCGGCTACTATAGAGTTTAACATAACAGTGAATCAATGAAACAAAGTTAATCGCACGCTGCTCTGACGGAAGTGTTCAGTCTGCCTTCATATTTGACTCACGTAACATCAGCCGAAATCCCACATACCACATTAAGGCATTTGCCGTGATCGATCGCGATCGCGAAGTCACTCCTCTGCCAGGAAGTAGCGGAGTAAGCCGCGTCCCCTGATCGACAGGTTGCCAAGTCTCTATGATTAAGTACTCGCCCGTCTGCATTGCTTGTCAAGTTGCCAATGGTTTCACTGCCAACTTGTCCGCATCATCAATGGCAACCCGTACACCTATCCAAGACTCAATCCATGCGTTTAGCCGCAAGCAACGGAAAGTACGGCAGTCATGTAACGCGTGCAGTTCTCAGAAGATCCGGTGCGGTAAACAGCGCCCAAAGTGCAGTCGATGCACGATGAAGGGGCTGTGCTGTGAGTATGGCATGTCGATGCGTACTGGGGAGCGCCCTCGTGTAGTTGCTTCTCCAATCGTGCAACGAGAGGCGGGCAACACGACCCCGATCTCATCGAGAGACGCTCCACAGTCGACGATTGAGAATGCATTTAATCTCACGCAAATGGACCACTCCTCGGACCACTCCACTGGAGCGGCCCAAATGGACGATGTTCAAGATGATATCGACTGGGTTCTGCAGGCCACTCGCCTAAGCAATGCAGGAACACCCGAATTCGGACTTTCGAATGAGCAAGAGGATTCCCTCAACCAATCGTACGGCCTGCTACCTACGCCATCCACCCAGGAGTACAGCTTCAACAACTTCAACCAAGACCATGGCCTTCAGTCTCTCGAACAGCAGCAACCACCTAGGGACCTCTCTGGCAGTGTGGACAGTCGACGAAGCTCGTCCATCGACTGTGACGCATTCCGGCCCAGCAAAGTCCACGACTGCACCACCGAGGCTCTGATGCTAGTTGCTGATTTCCATGTCTTGGCAGCTGGCTGCTTGACTGCAGCGAAAGACCCCATTTCTCCCTTTAATCTGGGGTGCTACACCGAAGACACTCCGAGAGAAATGGGGACAGTCCTGTCAGAGAACCGAAAGGCCCTGAAGAGACTCGACAACTTGCTGGACTGCCGCTGCTCTACCAGGCAGGAGGTTCTGGTCTTAATCTACTTGGCCATCACCAAAGCTGTGGAGTGGTATGCAGCGGTGCTTGGTAGCGACGACGATGAGGCGTCGCAGGAAGACGACGATCCAGCCACACCCCGGATGTTCAGACGGATCGCGAGAACCAGTTCATTTATGGGCAGCTATTCTTTGGACAACGACGCCCAGAGACTAGTCAGTGCGCACCTCGTCTTGACTCAGCTCAAGGACCACGTCCACCCTCTCTTGAAGAGATTGCGTCATAGACACCCGTCAACGTCGGCTTCGATGGCGGACGATTCCTCGGAGCCGTCGACGTCAGGCCGCCGTACTTCCAGCGTTATCGAACATCACCACCTTGCTCTTTCGGAGGAGCTCAACCGGATTTCTGCGAAGGCAAACACCATCAAGCAAATTTGTTAAACGTTTCTTTTCATCTCTTGGGGGTCTTTGATTGTCTTTGGTCTTTTCTGTTATCATTAGGGGACGGGCAAACAGAGCCATGGATGCGAGCTTGAAAATCTCAATTGAAACAGCAGTGGACATTTAGCATAGGAATCGAGACATGAGCATATCAGCGGGTCGGCTTTTAGGCATATGATACCAGGTTGCTATTAGGCATATTGGCGCGGGGAATCGATCTGTACAGCATCTTTGTTGCTATTAGGCATTGGCTCGAAGCGGGTTGGAGATATCCTTTGTGGGCAGTTAGTCCAGTAGTCGGTGGTGGGTTTTCCACGTCGCCCTTTCGGTTTCGGAGTTGAAGGTTATTTTGATTTTTGGACATATTCTTTAAGAGTCAAATGAGAAACGGCCAATTCCGATAAAGTATAAACTACTATCTACTATGGGATCATTCGCTTGGTGCTTTATCAGCAGGCAGCTATTCTTTACACGTCCCAGATGTGTGCAATGACAGGATCTCCGAAATCCCTCGCATTATTCAAGCTGCTGTTTACAAGGAAGAATCAGACCGTGTGATCTCAATGAGTGAGAGCTCGCCTTGGTTTGGACGATGAATCTTATGCACTCGCAACCTGGGCGTCACAGAACTGCACAAGTCTTCGAATGCTGCTCTTGTTCTTTCACGGCCGTTCAAATTCATGAGCATCAACATATCACGGTCACTGGAGTTGTCAGCTTAATCTTTGTCGGATATGGAGATGATGAACTTACTGCATCCGGCGTTCTCTTTCGCGGCTTTCCGTTCCTGGGTCTGGAACCACAACCTCGTTGACGATGATCCGGTCTTGTGGCCGCAGAGCAGATGCAAGGCCCTGCAAGATGTTCCGCGCATACTTGTCGCTCCAGTCATGGAGGATGAAGCGACAGAAATAGGCAATACCCTCGTTGTCAGCCACATCATGAGGCGGCTGCGGCGTCATGAAGTCGTGGGGCCGGAACATGATGCGGGACTTGAGAGCGTCTGGGCAGGACTTTTCGCCAACGGCTACAGTCTCCGGCAAGTCCTGCACCTCGAAACGAAGCTTGGGGTACTTCTCGGCCAGCGCGATTGACACATGGCCTGGGCCACCACCGACGTCAACGATGAGATGCCCGGACTGATCCAGCGTGTGCCAGGGATACCCGCCGTTCACCGCATGGCGAAAATCGTAGGCACCCCCCGCGGCAATCCCGCGCATCGCACGGGCGAACATCTCATGCAATTGAGTTCCGTCGCCCTCGCGGAATCTTTGGAATTGGGAGATTTTGCGACCGATGGACACCCCGTAAGGAGCCTCATCGGCCTCCATGCTGTAACCGTACTGCTCAAGAGCCTTTGGGATGGAAGCGCCCGCGGGATACGCGATAGTTGCGCTCAGATCCATCCAAGCCTCTAGATCAGGATCGGTGACCAAAAGCGCAGATGTGGGGTTGTGCGCTACCAGCCCATCGGGTCGAACATTGAACAAGCCATAAGATGTGGCATGCTCGAGAATACGCGCAACAAGCGCGGGCTGAATCTCAGGCTTGCCTACAGCTTGGGAGATCGCCGCATATGTGATTGTCCCCTTGAGCGGGACGTGGTTGGCGAACTTGTACTTCAGGATGACCTGAAAGGAGGCCGTGGCACAGTGTTCGAAACTCAATGCCAGCAACTGCTCCCTTGGACCCCGGATAAGCCGAATGAGCTGCTCCGCGGAGTCAACGATGGCGGCCTTTGCGTCGAAGTAGGGCGCGTTCTCAAGAGTCAGGTCAAGGTTAGTCGCGGGAGCCGAAGAGGATGGTTGTGGGAGCCGACGCTTTTCGCAGAACTTCGCTATGTCCGCCGCCGAGGAATGAATCGACGATACAAGCTCAAAGAGCTCGTCCTTTTGGGCTGCGCTTGGCATGACTGAAGAATTTGGGGAAATGGGGAAAAATGATTGATGTTGTTTTTGCAAGGGTGTGGTTGTCAATGCGAGCCAACAACGTTAAGCACTTAATGTTGGAAGGTGAGACTGTGGACTTGGTTTCTCTTTTTAAGACGGGTTTACATCAACGGATCGCGAGCTCCCCGTGAAAGTTGTGCGCAGGCAGTTTTCCCACTAAACAACAAAGCATTCACGGTTCGCGATAATCGTGGGTTCTTCATCGGGCTTCTGTCATCTTGACTTTCCTGTCATCCAACGGTTACCGCGATACGGAAAACCAAGGCATCCCACAGATGTAGGAACGGGAAGCCTGGAGACGGGGTGGAGCCGCCCTCGTGATCCGTCTCGGCAACCTTACGGGAACCACAGACGAGGTACACAGGCATGGGTTATTAATCCCCGATACCAAGAAGGTTTGCTTGGTGTATGAAGAAAGCTTCTGTCCATAAGAACGAGACCGACAAACCTGGCTTGAGCCAATCAGGCTGCTTCGTAGGGAACACTCCTATGCGCTCTTGGCTAGGTGTCGCTGTTCATCCGTACACACGCCCGTAAGCCCTAGGCGAATTGTTTGGAATGATTTCATGACTCTACTGGTTGGCGAACCATTTGCCTGTCCCGTCACCACAAAGCTTATTTTTGAAGCAACATCCATCCCACGCGACCCCCACCTATCGCAGGCATCCCCTCGGAATCTAAATAGACTTCACTTCTTCCAGAATTCTTGTTCCGTTAGCAAGCAATGATGTCCTAAATAGGAAGATTTTCCCCGTAGTTTACAAATAGCCTGCCAGACAGCAGCATGCATTTCTCCCGCTAATCACTAATGTCAAGTTCCTGCCCCCAGCTTCAAGCGTATGAACATCTTGATGTCTCGCAATGTGTGATCACAATGTGTGATAAACTGTCTGCATTAGCATTATCAAACTAGCGCTCATTGATGATGATCAGCTTCTTGGGGATTGAATGAAGAAGTTCAGTCCCAAGGGCATGCCATCCCTGCGTACCTTACTTTGCAATACGGCGCAGAATCTTGGGGACGGAGTGTTCCAACTTCCGGCAACCCAACCATGCCAGATGCCGGATTACTCAACTATGACCGGTGACTCCAAACAAGAGGGTTATGCCAAAAAGTTTCCCGCAATATTGATCCCCATTAAGATGACGGACCACCCGACGCTCCGTAGATCCCACGTGTCTCTTACCCCTAACTAGCCTGGTGAAACAGCACCTGAACATAGAAGCACTGATTCAAGTCTACGACGGTAGTCCATGTAACCGAGTTCCTAATGAATACTAGAAAGCTCATTCTAGTGAACCTACATACCGATATAGTGCAACCATATCCCAACTCGACGAAATCGGCGAATCCACCCTGAGAAGTGGAGTCGCATCTTCTAACTGTCGGCGTCGAGAGCCCGGCCATCGTTTCTTCTGATTGGGATCTCGATTTCATTGCTCTGGCCTTTCATGGTAACAGCGGTCAACTCATACATCGAGATCTACGCGGTTTCGAACTCCCAAATCAGAGAGATCGCGATTGCAGAAAACATCATGATAGTCTTTTACACGCAATTTGAATCAGCACCAGCCAACTAAGCTATTCGGAGAGTCAATGTGAGGTTACAATCCCAACAGGCGACTTATGGTTCTTGGAAACAATGTTACAATACGTAGTAAACTAAGATGTAAGGACAAGTCCAGTAACAATCTATGGGCACATCATCGCGATCCTCCGTCTAGCACCCCGTCCAGGGCTTGCAGTCTACCAAAGACCGCAGACCAAACATTTTCTGTGAACCTACTTCGCTATGCTTGATGCTTCGATGAGCTCGATTGCGCATGCTTTCCTCAAATACTCCCACAGCTTGCGAGGAAGGTGATCCCTGAGTGGCAGTGAGAATCTTAGCTAGACTGGCAGCATCGCAAATTGCGGTCTGAGCCCCAATACCACCACAGGGGCTCATGGGATGAACTGCATCACCAAGTACTGTCACCATGGAGGATGGCTGCCATGCGGGAACGTCTGGGACCGACGACACGACACGTATGAGTGTTGCCTGCCGCGTGTCCTGGAGTTCGAACACACAGCGGATGGAAGGGTGCCACTCTTCCGTAATGGCCAAGCTAAGGTTGGCAGCATCGTTTTGGACTTGTCCTGATGTCAGCCCTCCGACTTTGGACGCCGAGGTGCCATCGGGAAATCGAAAGCGGGGCTCAGGACCGATCAGCGCCCAGTAGAGATAATCTTCTGGCAAGGAATGTTGCGAGCGGCTGGCCTTGCTGAACCGAATAGGCTCTAACAGGAGGGTGACCGGAGAGTCCCCGATGAAGCAGGACTGGAGCATGGGTGCGTGGTCGGAGACAACTGTCATCCACCTAACTCCTTTCTCCGGAAACTTGGCAAGTACCTCAGGGGTCAGAGGTGTCTTCCCATAGATGCACGCAGCCCCAGTGTCCTTGAGCAGAGACTTCGGGATGTGATTACGGCGGATCACCGAGTGTAAGCCATCAGCGCCCACGATGAATCGGCCTTTGACTGTATGGCCGTCTTTGAAACTCGCTGTGACCACGCCATGCTCAGTATCCGTCTTGTATGAATCAAGCTCTTTCCCAAAGAAGATGTGCTCTTCAATGTCGGTCATTAGAATCTTCCGGAATGACGATCTGTCGACGCAGTAGTGTGGGTTGAGGCCGATCTTGCCACTCAAGCCTCCGCCAGACCGGCTTTTGATGACCATGCCCGTGAAGGGGTCCAAGTCTGTTTCCCCGATGGATAGAGTAGCGCACGAGGTTTGGAACATCTCGTACACGTCCTTGGGCAGAATGTCGGAGAGCGCTTCAGCAGCATCACCCTGGAGCTTCAAGCGGTATCCCTGCGAGCGCGCGTCGACAGCTGGATCTCGCTCGTAAACCCGGAAGGGGATTTGGCTTTTCCTCAATGCTTGGGCCAAGCACAGGCCGCTTATCCCTGCCCCAACGATGAGGACGGGCTGATCCGCACTGGTGGGTGTGATCGGGCTTTTGGGTGTGCAACCGTTCCACAGATCGGACGCTGACTCTTTGACGTGATTGCCGTTTGTGGTAGGCTTCAGCTGAACTGTCAACAGCCCCATCACGCTATCTTCGGGCTGCTCCAGATGCGTGATCTGCATGCCGACTTCACTGAGCAGAACTTTCCAGTCATCAAGCTCGCGTTCTCTGGCGTTGAAGACTTGCATCATCATGAGATCTCGTACTCTCAGCTGCTGTTCATGGAGGACTGTTGTTGAGCCTGGCGGAGGAAGCAGTGTGTCCATGATCACCACGCGGGCATTGGGCCGCTTCTCCAGCACTTCGCGAAGTTGCTGAAGAATGATGCGGGCATCTCTATCCGGCCAATCATGGATGATCATTCGAAGGAAGTAAACATCTGCATCGACCACAGGCTGGGCCTTGAAGAAGTCGTGTGACATGAACTGGATCCGCGACTTGACCGCGGCGCCGAGCTTGTCGTCTGCCTCAAAGGCCTTCTGGGCAGCTGCAACGGTTTCCGGCAAGTCCTGGACGACAAACCTAAGGCGCGGGAACTTAGTCGCGACCTGCGCGGCAAGTTGGCCGTGAGATCCCCCCACGTCAACAACCTTGGCGCCATCAGGGAGAGAGTCCCAGTCAAAGCTTTCAACGGCGTGGGCCAAGCTCCATGACCGGGAAGCGGTAACGTTGCGCATGTAGTCGGAAAACACCGAGGTCAGCTCCGCGTTCTTGCGGATGTGGTCGAAAAACGGGTCCGGGGTGTCAAGGGCCAGGTTGAAAGCCGTCTGGTCTTTGGCGTCGGTATCACCCCATCGGCGAGTGGCGTCGGCGAATCGATAAGCCACCGGCATGGAGTAGTTCATCATCCAGCGTGCCCAGCTCATGAAGTTGTCATCCCGCAGGAGGAGAGATGACGCGCGGCTATGAGCTACGTGGCCGGGAAGAGGCTCCTCGAGGAAGCCGTTGACCACGGCCATGCGTGCAACACCTTTGAGATGCTTCACAGGGACGCCGGCGTCGGCTGCCAAGGTGGTATAGGCGATAGACCCGGTGGCAGGAAGATGATGCAGAACATTGAGATCTACGAGCCAGCGTACGCAGGTCAACTCTTGATACTATGCATTGTTAACATGTTAATGGCGATGATGAGTGAAGCCATCCCAGACTTACGCTATTAGCTAAATGCTCGAGGTATCCATCCGCGGTGGTGGCAAGTTGGAGCAACTTAGTGGCCGACTCAATAAGCTTTTTCCGCGGGTACTGAATCGAAGACCTCGAAGTATCTTCTAGCAAACTGGCCAATGTAGTTTGGCCTGATGCGCCGTTGTGCGACTCCGTATCCAAGTGACGCAGCAGCTCCGGGCCGTGTAACGCAATCTCATCCAGAGAGCTCTTGAGTTTCTGGTACAGATCCATTGTCAAAACAAATAAGACTGATGTTTCCAGTGACTGAATGAATGATAGGATGATGATTGTGAACCTGAACGAGGGAATGATTGAGACGGATGTGTTTTCTTGACGGTCCCTTGAGTCTAGGTTGCGAAAAGTGGGCAGACGAAAGTCGTTCTGTTTCGGGGTATTCAATATAATGCCCCCTCGGGAACCTGAAAACCGCAACTACGGGGACTCGGTAACACCAACTACACGATGGAAAAGGCCGAGTCATCTCATGATGTCCAAATTATCTCTTTAAGATGCATTAAATCTCCAGACGACGAGAATTTACTTCGTCATCAGTCGTCATCGAACGAATGAAGTCTTTGATTTATATCAGCTACGTTTGAGTTCGGATGCAAGTCATCTTTCATCTAAACCATAACTCTCAGCCTCTCGTCTTTTGGTGATCTTTAGTCTTCTATATTCATTCTCTTTACGCACGCCCATACTTGTGCACTGCCACCCAAGACGTACACCATTACACGATGGCTGTCCACAAGGAAGTTTACGCCTATGTCTTCGGCGACCAGACCTATGATAGCGCAGAAACGTTGCGCAGTCTCGGGCAAACACACAATGATCCCCTTGTTACGGACTTCATCGAACGCAGTTGCGCCGTGCTCAAGCGCGAAATCGCACAACTGCCTTCAGCACAACAATCGCGATGCCCTCGCTTTGCGAAAATCGCAGACTTACTGTCACACTACCGCGCTGGCGCCCTCAACCCCTGCCTGTCCCAGGCTTTGACCTGTATAGCCCAGTTGGGTCTCTTCATTCGCCAGCACAGCAGCGGCTGCCAAGTATATCCAACTTCCGAGCAGTCATGTCTTGCTGGTGTATGTACAGGCGCTCTTGCTGCGGCGGCAGTGAGCTGTGCTCACAGCGTGTCCAGCCTGATGGAGCCTGCTCTGCACGCTGTGGCTATTGCCGTTCGTCTTGGAGCTCTTGCTTGGGACGTTTCCGGTAGAATCAACAACGATGATGAAAACTCGAGCTCTACTAGCGAATTCGCTGCTTGGTCCTATGTTGTTGCGGGCTCAAGTCCCAAAGCACTTGCCGATGCTCTGAAGCAGTACGCTGCTGAGATTATGCTTCCAATCACTTCCGTTCCCTACATCTCGGCGATCGTGGTAGGTCAACACCAGCTCCAAACGTGACTGTTGCTAGCAATGTGGCTAACTTCGTGACAGGGCCCAACCCAATCAACTGTTTCTGGACCCCCGGGTGTTGTAACCGATTTCCTGGCTTCAGCAATGGGAAAGGCCGTTGCGTCAACCAGTACAGTTCTTCCCATTGCGGCTCCTTATCATTCAGCCCTTCTCTACAGTGAAGGAGACATTGCTCAAGTCTTGTCCGGTCTACCCAAGAGCAATTTGCCTCGCAGTCAAATTCCTATAATCTCCACCAGCGCCGACTGCCAAGACGTTATCAGTGGCTCCACACTTCGCCACGTCTTTGAGGAGGCTGTGAGAGACTGTCTTCAGCGGCAAATGGCCTTGGACCAGCTCCCCGAGCGCCTTGCTCAGCATGTCAAGCATGCTTCAAACTCTGGTTCTGAAATCAACACAGAAGTGGTCATCCAACCAATTGCCTTCAAAGGCACAGAGCGACTGGTGCCTCCCCTCCGCCGCCAGTTGCCGACAGACTTGTTCTCTGTCAGGGAAGCTTCGCATCACTCCGTCGAAGATCCTACCTCAAACTCATCATTGGCATCAAATGGAGGAGTTGCGAAGTCTCCTATCGCAATTCTTGCTGCTTCTGGAAGATTTCCAGGCCGAGCTGACACGATGGACGCCTTCTGGGACATTCTCATCCGTGGCGTTGACACCCACGAGATGGTTCCTCCTTCTCGTTGGAACTCGTCAGCTCACGTTGGAGACACCAGCAACAAAAATGTTTCAGGAACCGGCTTCGGCTGCTGGTTGCACCAGGCATCTCAGTTCGACATTGCCTTCTTCAACATGTCTCCACGAGAGGCTTCTCAAGTTGACCCCGCTCAGCGTCTGGCTCTTTTGACAGCGGCCGAGGCTCTTGAGCAAGCAGGTATTGTGCCTGACCGCACGCCGTCTACTCAGAAGCACCGCGTAGGTATTTGGTTTGGATCAACCAGCAACGACTGGATGGAGACAAACAGCGCACAGAACATCGACACTTACTTTATTCCGGGTGGCAACCGGGCCTTCATTCCCGGCCGCATCAACTACCACTTTAAGTTCCGGGGGCCCAGCTACACGATTGATACCGCCTGCAGCTCCAGTCTCGCAGCTTTGCACCTAGCATGCAACGCGCTCTGGCGAGGTGAAGTTGACACGGCCATTGTCGGCGGCACCAATGTTCTGACGAACCCCGATATGACTGCTGGTTTGGACCGAGGCCATTTCCTCTCCCGAACGGGCAACTGCAAGACCTTCGACGATAGCGCCGATGGTTACTGCCGCGGTGAGGCCGTTGTCACCATCATTCTGAAGAGGCTCGACGATGCTGTGGCAGACAGAGATCCGATTCAGGCCTGCATTCGCGGCATTGCGACCAACCACAACGCAGAGGCAGAGTCTATCACAAGACCCCACTCAGAGGCTCAAATGGAGCTTTTCGACCATCTCCTCGCGGAGACGAACATCAGCCCTAGCGACATTAGCTATGTCGAGATGCATGGTACGGGCACCCAAGCTGGAGATGCGGGCGAAACCACGTCTGTCGTGACAACGCTCTCTCCTCTCACCGCACGGGGCTCATCTGTTCGACCTGCAACACACCCTCTTCACATCGGCGCTGTGAAGTCAAACGTGGGACACGGCGAGGCTGCTGCGGGCGTCACAAGTCTGGCCAAGGTGCTCCTGATGATGAAGCACTCCACTCTTCCGCCCCATGCTGGAATCAAGACTAAGGTCAACCACAGACTGCCTGACCTGCCATCGCGTAATACCCACATTGCTATGGAAGCAACGGAGTGGCCCAGACCTCAGAACGGCACCCGCAGAGTCTTGCTGAACAACTTCTCTGCTGCTGGTGGCAACACCGCCATGATTCTGGAAGACGCACCTGTTCCCCGCAAGATCAAGACTCGAGACCCGAGACAACATCATATTGTTGCCATTTCCGCAAAGACTCCAGACTCTCTGGTTGCCAATCTCCGAAACATGATTCAATGGCTTGATGGTCCCGCGACACTCTGGGATACGAATCTTCTTCCCAAGCTCTCTTACACCACCACGTCTCGCAGGATGCATCACCGCCACAGAGCTGCAATTCCTGCCGCCAGTCTCGATCAACTTAGGGCTTCTTTGCAGAAGTACCTAGACTGGAGAAGCGGGGACAAGAAGAGTGTTCCTGTGCCGCCCCGTGGAGCAGGCGTCGTGTTCACCTTCACCGGACAGGGTTCCCCTCAGGCTGGTATGGGAGCTGATCTGTACGCACGCTTCACGTCCTTCAGAACCGATGTGCAGCGCTACGACCATCTATGCACACAAATGGGAATGCCGTCAATTCTTCCTATTTTTGAGCAGGCAAGCAGCTTCGGTAGTGGATCTCCCACTTTGCTTCAACTGTCTCATGTCTGCTACCAGATGGCTCTTTGCAGACTCTGGCAATCGTTCGGCGTCAAGCCTCAGGCGGTTGTTGGTCATAGTCTGGGAGAGTACGCGGCCATGTATGCGGCGGGTGTTCTGTCTCAAGCCGACGTAATTTACCTGGTTGGCAGCAGGGCCAAATTGATGGAGGAACACCTCTCAGCTGGCTCCCACATCATGCTAGTAGTACTAGCGCCAGAGGCCACCGTCCTCGCCGCATTGCCAGAATCTGCAAAGACAAACTTCGAGGTTTGCTGCCGAAATGGAAAGCATAACGTTGTGCTCGGTGGCAAAACCGCCCAGATGTTGGAGATCAGGGTGCTCCTCGAGTCGAAGGGCATGCGATGCCACGTCCTCGATACACCTCTTGCCTTCCACACCTCGCAGGTCGATCCGATTCTTGTTCCGTTCTTCAAACTTTCATCGAAGGTTCGGCTTCGCGACCCCGTTGTTCCCGTTATCTCCCCGACCCTCAGCAAAGTTCTTCGCAAGTCATCGGAGTTCGGCGATGGCTACTTTGTCCGTCACTGCAGGAACCCCGTCAACATCCAGGAAGCTTTGAACATTGCAAAGAGTGAGGATCTTATCAACGACAAGAGCATTGCCGTCGAGATCGGTCCAGCTCCGGTAGTCTGTCGCATGGTCAAGGACGTTGTCGGGCCCCAGATGCAGGTGTTTGCTTCTTTGCACAAGGGGATCGACACTTGGCAATTGCTTGTGGAAGCCATGGCTGGCATGTACATGGCTGGAGTCAACTTCGAATGGGACAAGTTCCACGAAGACTTCCCCGAGTGTCATGAAGTCTTGCAACTGCCAGCCTACGGATGGACGCTCAAGGAATACTGGATGCAGTATGTCCACGACTGGAGTCTTCGTAAGGGCGAACCGGCTGCTATCATGGGCCCTGCCAGATTCCCTCACTCCTCGATCTACAGAGTGGTAAAAGATACTCTGAGGGGAAGCGCCGATGGACAGGTCGTAGTCGACATCGATCTCAACTCGAAGGATGTCCATTCCATGGCTCAAGGGCACAAGGTCTACGGTGTTCCGCTGTGCACTCCGGTAAGTTCATCAGTGTCACTGATATGACTTCGCTAACTCTTTTCCGTAGTCTGTTTACGCCGATATCTCTCTCATGATCGGCAACTACGTCACTCAAGTCACCGGTATGGCCGTTGACGAAATGGTCACCGAGATCGCGGAGATGCATATTCAAAGCGCCTTGGTTGCGAACGATGTCGGCAAGGAGCAGATCCTCCGTACTGATGCCAAGTTTGACAAGGAGAGCAACACCGTGTTTTGCACCTTCTCCAGCGTGGATGTAAGTTTGAACAGCCCATGACTGGTTGAGTACGGATATACTGACATGTATATCCAGAGCAAGGATAAGATCATCGAGCAACATGCCAA